TTCATTCGTTGGTTCAAAACCACTGAAAGGTGGGAGTAGGCTAGTTTCTCACACACGCAAAAAAGGAATTTGGCCTCATATCTTAGGTTCTACAAATGGTAGAAACACTCCTTTTTAATGAAAGCTGGGAGTTGGGGAATTATGGTTCATCGAAGATTCTGAATTAGAGAAATGTGCGTGATCTCTTGCTTTGGTGTGCATTGGCAGGATGTGCTGGCTGCATTATGTGGCTGTACAGTATTTAATTCAATGGTCCAAATCCTACTTAGTACTTCACATTAAGGCTAACAGTGTGTGTTAGTCATAATGAAGCAACTAACTAGAAAATCATTTCTTGTTTATCTCAACTTTACACAATAGATTAGTATTCATTTTGAAGAACAAAGGAACAGGGAGGCTTTCCCCACTGTATGTAAAGGCATATGATAATATATTACCCAATTCACACGTGAGAGAGGTGAGCTTTATGATCAATCTGGGATAATGCTGCTGAATAAATTGAAAGCTAAGCATGCATGAACAGGTTTAGTTGTTTTGTTTTTACCACATATGGTTATTAATGTGCTTCATTGCATAATGCAGAAAATGGGGTTAGTACCAAGCCAGATATTTAAAATAAAATGGAAGAAAGCAAGAGTCAAATTAGAATATTAGCTGATACAATAGCTGAAATTAAGATGCATGAAACAAGGCTGATCTTCTGGGGTCAGGGAAAGCCTGGGCAAAAAGATAAGTCTTCCCAAGACATTTGAAGTAAATGACAATTGGTGCTTGATGCATGACAGAGGGAACGGCATTCCACAGTATGAGGTCAACAGCAGAAAATACCAGATTTGGGGTCACTGACCTATGATTTTCTGTAGGGTACAGAGCCACAAGTAGAATTTCCACAGATTATCTATGTGAGCTTACAGATCTACACAGGGGCAGGTGATCTTTCAGGTAACCCTGTCTCAAATTTCTCATGACTTTAGGTTATGAAGACCTTGAGTATGGCTTGGTGACTGACCATAAGGCAATGCAGTTCCCTCAGCACAAGTGCAATGTTTGTGTGTTCAGGTGCTCCACTCAACAACCAGGCCACAGCAATATATAACCAGCTGCATCTTTTGGATCAAACCTATGGAAAGCCCCAAACAAGAGGGTGTTTCCTTTTACTGCTGCTGTTGCCCCCAAAACAGGGAAAGGAGAATTCAGGTACTGTCTTCCCCTTCTCCTGCTCTCCACTGCAGCCGCAGCAGCACTCATAGCAGCAGTGGGAAAGAGATCTGCTATTCCTTCCTCCTCTCTTGTTTCTCAGTTTTCTCACATGGAGAAAATATGTACTTATTTATTTATTTATTTGTTTATTTATTTATTTATTTATTATTATTTATTATTATTAGAATTTATATATCACCCTATAACTAAAGGTCTCAAGGCAGTTCACAGAACAGAATGAGGTTTTGGGGAGAAATCTAGAATTTCGAGACTCAGAATGGCAGTAGCTCTGTATATACAAGGGTACTGCCCATTATCCTACCCTTGATTAAAGGAGTTGGAAACTCCTTTCAGATACACAATGAACATCTATGAAGTAAACACTGTACTCTCTATGCTCTCCTGAAGTATTCCTGCTCTGAACACCATGCAATGCATAGAAACTGAAATGTGGAATATATGTTTGGGGAGGGGAACCATGATCAAAGTGACATTCACATTTAAATCCAAACTAAGATGTACAGTGACAATGACATCATTTTATTATTATTATACAGCCTTTTTCCATACAGGGAGGTTACCACAGCAGTGGATCATAACAGCTCCCCATTTCTCTTCCTGCTGTTAGGATTGCACATTTCCCCCCATTAAAAATTCCTGCTGGACTCAGCACATTTGCCAGACCTGTTCTACATTAGAGGTTGGTTCAGGAAAACATTAACCTACGGCTGCTAAGAGCAAGGAAGTCAATACTGTAAATACATAACGTAATCCCCACAAAGGATGCAGCTAATATCACATGTAAATAAGGAGGAAACCTTTATCTATACAGGTGTATGGACCTTCTCCCCTCCCTCTGCTGCCATCTGTTCATTACGATTGGTGGCAGATGTTTTATTGATGAAACCGCTCTGAGTTTCATCTGTGAACAAACCGTGACTGGTGGGGGTTCTCCCCCGCCCCTGCATCTTTCCCATAACTATAGGTTTTCTGATGGTTTGAAATTTAAGTCTTGCCATTCTGCAGTTCTCCCAGCTGGTTTTGGCTTATATAAGAGCTCAGCTACAGCGCTGCTGAGCAAATTCAAAGAGGTTTGTCTGCTTTCTGGGGCTTAGGAGATAAGCTGCACAATTGTTCAGAGTTCATGGTGTTAACTTTCATGTATAGAACGTGTGGTGGGCGCTTTAACTCAATTAACTAATTGAGTCCATACTTCAGTGTCCCAGGGTCAGGGACCATCCCTTTCCCCCTATCTGTCTGTCTGTTTCTTCTCCTTACAATGAAGCGTAGCCTAGCAATGCCTTTCTACGTAGTTACTGATTAACAGCAGCAGCAACAACCATAATAAATCCAGTGCAAAAGAAAAGCAATGGCAATGGAAGTAGACTTGTATTTTGGGTCTTCAGCAAGAGAAGTTTATTAGCATATGCAAATACGTTTCCATATAAAGACAAGGGCTTGGAGACAAGTCCAGTGCATGAGCTGGGAGTTACGTGAGGGGGGGGATTGTGCACAGAAGCACTGTTCTCCTATTAAGAAAGTTCGGAATGGGGGGAGCACTAGTGATTTGGGCTCCGTTTTTGTGCCCCCCCCCCACCACAAGACCAAATAGGTCATCAATATTGGCCAGAGTATTGGGCAGCACAGGTGGCTGATGGGAGTGAAGGGAAAGTGCATAAACTGAGATTAGATGTTGAAAGGCAAATTGGTAAGTCACACAGTGGTTGCTGGGATAGTGCAGGTGTTCAGCACAGGAATGCTTGACTGTGCCATTACCTCTGCTTGAGTTGCTGAAAGGAGAACTGAGGCAGTCACAGTTCATCTCAAATAGCCCTTTCACCTCAGTCCTGCTCACATTTGCTACTTCCAACAATAACAGAAGAATCCCAGATGTGTGTTTCCTTGAGCAGAAAATTACACACACACACACTTTTTCTTTTTCTTCAAGGGCTGGTACTCAGATTTACTAACTACATGGTACCTGCTCAGAAGTATGAAATTGCCACATTTCCTCCCTAGCTGACACAGAGAATTAGTAATGTTGCGTACAACTGAATGATCATAGGCTTCAGAGGACTTCCCTGCCCGTAAACACACAGACTGAGGTTTCTGTCATCTGAATTCACATTCAGTGACAGGACTAGACTAGACTAGAAAAACTACCCTTCACTGGTTAGGACGTGAGAGGTTTACAAAATACCATTCAATGGGTTCAATAAAAAAAAAAACATTTACAATCTTAACCATGATTTAAAATAATGGTTTTAAATTCACGCCATCACAGCACTACAGCAGAAGGCAACACCCATGGCCAAAAACACATCCACCTCTTCTAAAAGCCCCGAGGAAGAGGAAAATCCACAGATGGGTTGCCACCACCAAGAAAGCTCTGCCCTGAATCACTAGTCAATGAGGTTCCCCATCAGAAAAACAGCCTGGTACAAAGGTGGCATGTAGGGAAAGATGGGTCTCTACTGACTTGGGATGGTGTTGCATGCCAGTGTGTTTTTCTGTTGGATTGTGGCTATTATCACAATTAATAGTTACTTTAAGAATTGAGGCACATCTATGCTATTAAAAGACCTGGACACTCACAATGGGTTTCTGAGATGGACTGCTAAAATTCACATTAATAGGTTGGAGAGAAGACACAACTTTTTTTTTGCTTCACTCCTGCTATGCTTGTCTTTGTACAACACTGTGAAGTTCACTAGTGAAAGGGGGAGCAATGAGTGAGGAGTATTAAGGAGTGGTTTGTGGTCCAGCATGTTTAACCTAGTGAATTTATGGGACAGCTTTGCACCTGTCTTACTAACTCCTCAGTTCTGACTGGCTGATTTGAAAACAAGTAAGAGGAAGAAACAGAGAAAAATAATTTCACAAAATAAAATGTCGGATTTTCTAACACAGTATGGCAATATTTATGTATTCTTTGTTTCACTTATAACAGGATCTTTAGAGAAATCCATCCTATCATCATCATCATCATCATCATCATATATGCCTCCATTTTATTTTTATTGTTTTTGCCTTCTTTCAGCAGCTTTCTGCATTCCAACAGGATCTCTAATCCTAGAAACTCAAAAACTGAGCTCACATTGACAACCACAAAGAATCACTATCCCAAGAGCTAAAATCACCAAGAATGATAATTCAGGTGGTGGAAACTGCACGAATTAAGAGGTTGTTGTGTTACATTTTTTAACCACCATGATCCTAAAACCCTCTTTATATACAGTACTACACTTCCTTATAATTTAAACATAAGTGTTATTATAAAAAATTAGCCTTCCTTTGAAAATAAGTCATAAACAAGAGGGTTCATTTAAGCCTGCACTGAGTGTTCCCCCCACCCCAACTGCTAAACACAGTTGGATAAAAATGTAGGACTTCTTTTTTTAAAAAAGAAGCAGATTGTGCATTCCTAGCAGAGATGAACCTGGTGCTGTTACCACCACCAGAACTTCAATTGCTGAAGAGTCGCACAACTATGAAGCAAAATGAAATAGCTGCTTCATCTTCTTGTGCCATTTCAAAATGTGCCATATTCCTGTCCAGCCAGAAACTCTATGGGGCTTACTTCCAATTCTGTTCACACACAGGATTTGTCTGCAAAACTGGACTTCCGCTATCTTCTTCTGAAGTTGTGGTAAAAGGCTCTGAAGCCAAAAAAATCTCGCTCAAGGATTCAATGTATGATCATAAACATTCCTTCACAAAGAACATTCCTAGACACTGCATTTTTTGCAAAGCAAAAATGGATTTCACATAAATAGTTAAGAGATGGAAAATAAACCTACCAGAATACCTAGTCCATCTTCTGCCCTTCTCCGTTCCTGGCCAATAATGCAGGTGCTCTAGTGATTAGTCTATCTGCTTGAGTTACACAGACAAAGGACTTCTTTCTTGGGGCCAGCAAAATAGAAGCCAACCCTCTTGTTACAAACTGCCAGTCTTTCTTCATAGTCTCAATCTGTTTAAAATATGAAGAGAATATTTCATTCAGTATTACGTGGGCAGCAGGGACACTGAATGACTGCTGCATTCATTCAAGAAAAGAGGAAGCTGCTATGGAACCCATAGCAGAGCCCCCTCGTGACAAGCGACCTCAATAGCTGTGGTGGCCTTTCAATCAGTGAGATAGCTCTTCACAAGTAAAACCTACCGAAAGGCAGTGGGAGTCAAACAGAACTCAATGGTCTGCAACTCATGGTTTACCAGGAGAAACCTGTCATCTGAGTATGAGAAATATAGAGGCCATGGAGCTTCTGAGAAAAAAATGGGGGTGCAAAATGACTGCAATTTTTGTCTCATTAAACCCAGCTTGCAGTCGTCTTACTGAAAACTCAAGATGGACAGATCAGCTTAGGTCTGTCCTGTTTCATTTTTGCTGGCACTAACAAATAGACCTGCTCTGTGTTTGAAGCTTGGAACTGATTTTGGAAAGTTTGCATTTAAACTGCATGCATTATTAACTGCATAATTGTACACATTTCACCCCAAATTCAGATTGTTCAATGGAGAATGGCTTCTGTTCCTACCATGGAACTTCCCTTCCCTCTCCTCTCCCCGTGTGCCCCTGGAGGGGAGAGAGGGAGGGAAAGTTCCATTGTGTGATTGCAAGTTGTCCAGAGGGAACAATGACTTTGTCAGATGCAACCCATAATTTTGACAGCAATTTTCACACACCAAAATGGCATTGCAATCTCTGACTGGGAGTTGCACTTCCAACTGCAAGCAAATTCTGGCCCATTGGACTGAGTCAATCTGCTGTAAAAAGCCTACCAAATTCTTCCTCCATCCTTATTGGGAACTGCTTTATTATTTTCAAAGGAGAAAAGTTGTCATGGCAGATCATTGGTGCCCATCTAATCTGAGCTGAGCTAGTTTCATACATGGGATTCTCTAACATAGACTCTTCACTGGGTCTCAAAAAACTCTAGTGGTTTTGGGGTAATGTTAAACCAACACCAATAGTGGAAGAAATATGACTTTCATTAATATGACTTCTGAATTCTCTGTGTCTATAGAATCCAAATGGATATGACCAGCACCTACTCCCATTAAAGTCTGTAGAACAAATGTCACAGCATAATTTTCTCAAGACAAGTAATACAGTTTTTTAACAGCTTGTCCAATAGAGGGCAACAGTAGACACATAATTCTGAAAATTCCACCAGTCTATGAGTAGAAATACAACAATGCTGAAGGTATTGTATTTTTTGTTTTACACACAGCATCTTATGGGAGTTGCAATGCTGGGGCATGGTCCCAACTGGTCCCTTCATGTTGGCAGTAGGACTGGATTACTACTGCTTTACCAGTTGTCCCACACCAGAGTATTACTTGATTCCAATGGTGTGAGACAAAGGTGAGGTATTGTGGCATATCTGACACCCAACAGCCCAAGAATCCTGATGTAGGGTCGTAGTTCAGTGAAACAACATCTGTTTTTTTCTATACTATGACTTTGTCAGATGCCAGACAAGGGGAGCCTTAGGGACATGAAGGTCCTTATGCAAATCTTGTATGTTTGAGCCTTGTAGAGACATAACAGTTCCATCCTAATTGTCATTAAACTTTGAGGAAATTAAAGGGGTTTCGGTATTTTATAGAAATTAATATGGGGATGCTTTATATACCACAGGCTGTAACAAAAACTGCTTCTTTACATCAGTGCAGTTGGTGAAGATCCATAGGATTGATCTGTAATACACTTAGGCTTTCCCCTCACACTATATACGCAGTAACTGCTTTACAGTGCACATCTATATAAGAGTAAAATAGGTGTTTTAGTGGTGGTAAAATACAAACATATTGCTATAAAAAATACTTTTCCCCACCATTCTCATGTTGTGTCTGAAGACCCTAAACCAAATTAAACATCACCTTAACCGCTAGCCTGGTTCCATTTAACTTTTGGAAGAAACTGAGCTAATAATGTGGTCAGATGAGCAGTTTATGGATGTGTATAAAGGACTGTGGCCTTTTAACACCTCCTAAAAATAAAGCATCACCAAACATCACTAGGTCAATTTCAGTAGTCTTCAACAACAGTAACATCAAGGTTTCATTTGGAAATATACATGGTGAACTTTCCTCTTTCACTGCAAGGGAGAGGTGAAGCAGAAGCCATTAAGAAAACAAAACTTAGATAGATCTTGGTCACTGCAATGTTGCACTACAAACAGCACAGAATACTGCTCTTATACAAAAGAAATGACAGGCTAGGGGCTGGAAGAAATAAAAATGGTTTGAGAAATGGTCTATAAATACTATAAAAATTTGCAGGGTGCTTAAGAGCTAAAAAGGTTGTATTCAACTAAGTCTTGCTCAGTGTAAACCCATTAAAATTAATGAGCCTAAGTTACCTATGACCATTAACTTCAATGGAATTTAATACCACACTAAGGTGAACGGTGCACCAGGGCAAGCATTTTGGCTTGCCAGACCAACCAATTTCCCCTCTTCTCCCCTTCAAACTATTTCAGGGGATCTCATGGCCCCTCTAGAGCCAATTCAGGAGGTGTAAAGATGGGGGGGGGAATCCCCATTGTGCAAGGGGAAGCCCTTGTGACAGCTGAATCCCGCCCAGCTTCTCCATATGCCTGAACATCTTTCTGTGTCATTTTGCTTCAGTAGTCTGAGCAAAGTAATCAAAGTATTTATGCAATGAATTCAGCCATTTGTCCCGGTTGATGTGTTTTCATGAAATGATCAGTTATAATATCCAAATATTATTCTTCATTTGTAATGACTTATGAATCATTTGACCAAAAATTACAACTTATGGAGGCTATGCTGGCATTTCTTAGTACAATTATTCATTGTGCATGGTTAGTCACAACCAGGCTTTCGACAGGGCACACTAGATACTTTTCGGAGATGCAGTGAGGGGGGTAGGAATATGGCATATGTTACATTTGTGTCATGGGAGCCATGCGCATAACTTGAGAAGCACCAGCCATGTGGGAGGAGCTCAGTTTTACCTCATGCCATTTTTTAACCTTCTAAGTCACACCCACAATGTACATTTAAAGCACCATTGTACCACTTTAACAGTCATGGACAACCCTGCGAACTGTAGTTCATTAATGGTCCTGACTTCACAGAGCTACAGTTTATAGCACCCTAGGAGCCACCAACTTTTAGGGGTAGAGGAACTGTAGTCAGAAGAAGAGGGGACATCCTGTTCACCCAGGACCCACTGCAACAGATATGTCCCCCCAAAACAGTGAACATCTACATGTTTAACTGTCCTGCGATACATGAGAGTGTAATGAGTAATCTTGCCTTGCTCCATCTTTAGAAGCTTGGTGAGTGGATGTGCCAACCTGTTGGGGGAGCTCCATTGCTTCTGTGCAGTTTTAAGCACCTTGTCCTGATCTTGGACTACACTTTCATCACTGCCTCTAGCCTAGCTGTGACTTGATACCCATGGCTGAACTTGTATCTCTTCTCTGTCTCAATAAAGATCTCTTCCTTACTCACAAGTAAAAGTGTCTGTTGTGGTGGTCTGGGCTGGAGCCATGGCAAGCTTCAACCTTGAAATGTGTTGTAAAGTTACAAAATGGGTTAAAAAGCATTCCAAACTTTGAGAATAGGGTATAATCCTAAAGCATTTTAGGTGTAAACTATTCCAAGTTCCGGTCAATAGCTTCCAAATTCAGGACATTACTCTTTCCTCAAAGGGACAGTTTTTAATTCAGATGCTCCTGACCATGTTGAGATTCAGGTTACACTATCACTGCAGCTATTCTAAAGTTACAAAAGCAAGAAAAAAAAATCATCACCTTAAGAGCTGGCCTGGTTCACTTTTCCTTCACATTAGAAGGAAACTGAGCTAATGATGTGGTCTAATGAGTGGTTTATGCCTTCTGACAAACCAAATGAGGTTTGTCAGCATAGGCTCTAGGCAGCATGGAACTGCTGCAATTTTACATCTCATTGATTACCAGAATGAGGATTGCAAAAACATTCATACAGCATCAAATATCCTTCACAGACCACAGGAATTCAAGCCTTCGCAGAGAAGAAATAAAATGAAGCAACTGGGTAGCACATTGTTTTCTATGTGTATATTGTGGCAAACTGACCTCTATATAAGCTAATAATAAAACAATAAAGTAACAAACTACAGAGGCTGAAATTCCATAGGTTACATACAGAATTCCATGGGTTCTGGACTGGGTTACATGTAAACAGGCAGTTCAGGCACCAATGATACGCTTGCTTTTCATGAAGAGCATCAGAGTGTTTATTGCACAGTCACAGAGAATGTGCACTACACTAGCAATAAGTAACATTAAAGAGGGGTCTACAAAATTAATACTATGATTCTAAGACTTTCATGGTATTCCTGCTATATAAATAGCAATTATTAGTCTTAATTATAATAAAGCAAAATTAACACCCAGGAGTTGATTTTGGGGTGAAAGGACTGTGAGATCAGTTCAGTTTTTGCATTGTAAACCAAATCATATGCTCAGAGTGTTCTCAGAGGCACCCCATTCTTTAATCCTAACTATGGCTTTTGCACCTGGCTCTAGCTGGTTTTAGCAAAATAATAAAGTAGATCTGTCAAACTTGAAGTCTGCCCACACCTGTCATAAAGCATGCCTCTGAATAAAAATATAAGAACATATAGCCTGCAGGATTAGGTCCATGGCCCATCTATCACAGAGCCCAAACACATGTCTGTAGGAAGCCTGTAAGATGGACCTGTTCTGAACACGACAACACTTGGCCCACCTGTGATATCCAGAAGATAATTCTTTTAATGGTTATCTCCAGTTGTTGTTTTTCTGGGGGGTATGCAGGGATACGCATACCCCTAAACATTTTGTGAATCTTTGTACCTATGTCCATTTGCTGTATTTATTTTCCCCAGTTTGAACTATAAAATGGTGATTTTCTTGAGTCAAAATGAGAGTACCCCTAAACATTTTTTTAAGAAAAAAAACACTGGTTATC